GTGTGTGTGTGTGTGTGTGAGAGAGAGAGAGAGACCATCAAGTACAAAAAAAAGGCAAGTGCTTCCCGCACTTTTCCACCCACTGTTACAAATTTGCAATGACGGGAGTGTCTGTCCCCAGGATTCTAAGCACTACAGGTAATTTACAACGACAACACTAAACTGCACGAATGGCGATCTACCACGCATGACCCGCAACAACGGACAACGATCGACCAACGAAGCCTCGCCATGTCTACGACGGCGCACCTACCAACACGACTGCAACGGGAAACCAACCAACAACTTGCCCCCGCCATAAATGGACTCCACAATTGCACAACACACTTCCTAGCTGCTCGGCCGCTGACGAATGGCCTTCGCTATTTCCAGCAATGCGTGGCACATGAGTTTGTTGACTTCGTCTGACGCGGCATAGTGCTTCCTTTGCACTTCCACCTCCGCTTCCAACGCCTCGCACTGCCGGACCTGGATAGAGCATTGCCGCTTGCTCGCACTCTCCATCGTCGATGCCATCAGCTCCCATTGTTTCTCCATGCATTCCGTCAGCGCCTCGAAAGTCTGCTGCCTCGTGTTCTTCCTTTTCCCAGAAACGCCGGGGGTGCCCGTCGTCTGCGAAGAGCCTCGCGTCGACCCCTCCTTGTCGTCTTCTCGCCCTGCACCACCTTCCTCGTCGACCACCGAGTCAGGATCCACGTAAGACGTCGAAGGCGGGTGCACGCCGCCCGACGCACCGGTGTCTGCCACGTTCCTCGGGTGGATGGTGTGGTTCATCCCAGTCGACCCCTCTATCTCGTCATAAACTGCGCGATCCATCGTGAAATTGAAGCTCCTGCTCGCCCTCTCCTTCGACGTCAACATGAAAAAGCCGACACCCCCTGATGGTGATTGAAAGTGATGGACTTTCATGAACTGCTGCATTAGATTGTCCCACTTCTTCCCGCATTTCTCCGCATTTCTGTACACACCGACGTTCTTCAACCTTTGGGCGACGTCTTGCCATTTCCATTCCCGCGGTTTCATTCGTGCGTATGCGTGCTCCATCCCCTGCATATGCGCATCTTGGTCACGTTTAGCCCTTATGAGGGCTATAATGTGTTCCACGGACCAGAAGTTGCGCTTCTCCTTCGCATCACGGTCGCCTTCCCCACCGCTCCCCTTTCCCTGCCGTTTTTTCGCCCGCGAACGAGCATTGCGGCCGGAAGGCTTGGACTTCCCACCCTTACCAGCCATGTCGGTCTGCAACGATGGCGATGCGTGACCACCACCCCCCTTCCCCACACTCTACATTGTTGTCTTCGTCGTCGTCGTCGTCGTCTTCTGCATCCGCCGGTGGATCGTCCGTCTCGTTCTTGTTCTCCCGGTCTCCCACGTGAAGACACTCCACCCCCTGCGTGATGTATTCCTCTCGCCGCAACCGGTGATCTCGCCGCAGGTCCCTCCACACCTCCCTCCCGTCGCGACCATCACCAACATCCAAGAAGTCAGTCCCGCCGTCGACTCCGACGCCACGGCCTCGTGCCACTTCCGACGCCGCAGACAGGGGAGATGGCAACTGCATCCACTCCGGCCGACCCTGGGCGCTCTTGGACAGAGAGGCCGCCCCTGGTTGGGCCGTCGACGAGTTCCGGTTCGCTCCCGCCGTCTCACTCGCCAACGCCCTCGTCCTCGCTGATCGATCAACAACTGTCAATTGCCCGCCTTCGTCCCCGAGGTGGGGTCGCGCGAGCACTGTGCGCGATGGAGTTGTACACCGCCCGGTGGACAAACCGAACGACAGGTTAACGTGGCCATCTCCTTCGTCTTCGCCAAGACCATGTCGAAGGAGTTCAGTGAACGACTGCTTGTACACGCCGCCGCCCGTCCCGCACAGCTCCGTGGCTGCATTGATCCGCTGCCCAACGACACGGTTTGTGGCCGTCTCTCCACCTCCTCCTCCTCATCTGATGACCCGGGGAGTGGTTGCAAGTGCGGTGGCAATGCATCACACCCAACCCGCTGGGAGGCCCTGCCAACGGTCGACAGGCTCCCGCCGCACCGCCTCCCTCCGACCTGCTCCCCATCGGACCGGGGGATCTCCTGCCGTGCCTCCATCCTGGCGTCCTTCATCGAAGACCTTATTTTGCGTCGACGCGGCGGCATGTTCCCAAGGATGCACAGGCGGAAGAGGACCACGAGGAGCAGCAACAGGACAACGAGGAGCAGCAGCGGCAGCCTGCGGAACACGTCAGCCATGAAACAATCGACGACGACGACAGCAAACGGAAGACAACGCGGGCGCCAACATAACAGCGGAGCGCAGTGCTGCAAACGGCCGTCCCGACTTCGCAACAAACCCCCGAGAACGTCTTCGGTCTCCCACGGTCAGTGCGTAATTGGGAGCTGGAGTGCGGCCTTAAAAATTCGTATCTGCCGACCGTTGGGACATTCTCGCGGATTGCCATACTCGACGATGCAAGACGGTACCTTCAGGACGTCGGGGATGCCGATTGGCTGCAAACGGTAACCGTTGGAGTGAAGCCGAACGTTGCCGACCCAACATGTCCGTGGAGACGCAGCAGGACCACCGATGGACCAGACGGAATTGAAAAATGTCGTCGAAGGAGCTGCCGTCGACGCCCCGATTCTTCTGGAAGCTCGACCTCCAAGGGACTTCGGGAGGTCCCTTGGAGAAATCGCCAAAATGGTTGTGGCCCCGAGGAATCCCCGAGGAATCCCCTAGGAAATGTTTTCACATTTTCTTTTCCGCGTCTTCCCCGAGGATGAGTGGAACGACCATTTCCTTGGGCAATTTCGGGCCCCGAGGAGTGTCCAACGAGGCCCAAAGATTGATCTTCTTCCAAAAAATAAAAATAAAAATAAATGCCGAGAGAGGTATTGCACATGCATCTTGCGGCGCCTTCTGGGTGCGCATCCCGTCCCGATTTCTCCTTTTTTCTTCCCTCTTTTTTTTTTTCATAGTTTATCAATGGGTGCCCCTCCCGTAGTTTCTCTATTCATAGGTATTTTGGTGAGGCCGGATGAGGTCAACGGAAAAGGCAGCTGAGGGCACACTCACACGGAGACCTAAAGTAGCAAGTATGTGCAGGAGTGCGGCTCAAACTGCGAGTTTGAGGCCTGCTTGCTCTTGTTAGTTTTGAACTGAAGATTGATGTTTTGTCGTGCCGCCCCTGTTCATAAAGGTCACAATTTTTCAACAAAAAAAAAAACTGCGAAATTTTGTACCATGTATTTGAGCCTTTGGGTGTCCGTGTGGACACATGTGTCTTATGTGTCCACAAAGGACCAAGTCGCAGCCGTGACACTTACACCTCAAAGGAACTGCAGCTACTCACAAGTTACCTCCCAAAATGTGTGGAGGTGTGAGCTATACAATAGCAACGGGAGCTGCCCAGCTCAATGAATCAGGGGGCGGCAAAGATGGGAAAGGGAGGGGACAGAATACTTGACGGTGATTGTTTATTTGCTTTTCAAAACCGATATTGCATACAAATCGTTCAGTTTCCACAGTAGCTCAGTAGGTTTGATAGAAGATTGCATGGATGAGGTCGTGCGTTCAAACTCGCTTACCTAGTGGGAGGCAGGACCAAGAGACCTACACACCGCCCGTAGACTCAGGAACGGTTGATGAGAGTGAGACATAGTAATGACTGTGGTCGGTGTTGGGAGGTTTCTTGGGGCAAGATTATAGTAGGGGGACCCGTTGCTAGCTGGAGATCTGGGGGGGTCAGCTGCTAGGCACGCGAGGGGTTAGGGTGAGGGCTCCCCTTAGGACAGCTCACCCGTGACACAGGAACGGTTGATGAGAGTGAGACGTAGTACAATGCATGGTCGATGTCTGTCTGAACTAGGACCCTACAGACCGCCCATGGAGCGAGGAACAGTTGATGAGAGTGAGACTTAGTACAATCTATGGCCGGTTCAGGTAGGGCTCTTCTGTCGGTGGATTCTCCACAGGTTTGGTTGGGTTGCCTGCCTCCTGTGTTCAGTTCACTATCAACAAACAAACAAGTCGAAATGACAACAGTATGCACAGCGAACAACCTAGTGACAACAAACAACAGTAACAACAGTTGTGTACACAACGATAGGAACACAAAATAGGTCCACCTATGGGACTTGTAGTGAAACGTTTGTACCTAGCACCTGAAGTACCTGGGAGGCTGGGCGATAAGGCCCGCAGAAATATGATTCAATCATGCTTTCCCTGCATCGACTTTCGTAGCAACCTGCAGTGCGGTTATACATTGTATGGTGGTTGCGTCGACGAACTGTGGTTGAGTGTGTGTGACTGGTTACACCGGGACGCGGAGAAATCCGTGTTGGGGTGGGGACCGGGACGCGGAGAAATCCGTGTTGGGGTGGGGTTAAGTGCTCATCCTGGGGCTTAACTTTCACCCCAGTCCACTTAGCCGTTTGGTTGAGTGTTTGTCTCCCAAGAGGGAGGTCGCACG